AGTCAGCTGGGATAGACTCCAGCCCCCCATGACCCCAGTGAGGATTAAGCGGTGTATAGATGATGGATGGATGGATGGAGAAGGATCAATCTATAAAATATGAAAATGTGAGAATTTCAGAGTCAAAGTAAATAACGGTTAAAACCATCAAAGACTAATGATCATATCTGATGAAGACCAAAGACTAAAAACTAATGAAGACTGAAAGAGGAATTCACTGGAGGGATTAATAAACTTCATCTGACATTAATAGAAGATTCATTTAGTGACTATCTTTGATGGTCTGTTTTTAACATGATGGACCCTCACAGTTTGACCATCAATCATTTCATCTATGCAGCAAAACCAAAGATTCTTCTTGAACATTATCACGGAGTAAATACGAATGTTTATCGCATATTCACCGTGGGAACAAACTGATCTTGTTCAAAGTAATTTGTCGTAACAACTTTATCTCATCTCTTTTTGTGACTTCCTCTTTTTTAGTTGTAGTCTTCAGTGCGTCTCTGAAATGTAACCTCACTTCTGAAGAACTTGACTCCTCTGCAGACCTCATACAACATGTAAGTCATCATACCTTCAATAATACACGACTGAAGATTAAAACTGAACAAAAGGACAGTATGATGTTCTATGAGACATTATTAATGATAATATTGATAAAGTTTAAAGTTTAAAGTAAAATGGTGGGACTTCAATTGCAGCTGATGTTTTTGACATTTTGACACTTTCAAGCTGTCAGTCCGTTGGGTTTTATAGATTGTTGCTCCTGATGATATCTTTGTCTAATCCTGAACATAGATTGATAGATTAATTTATGTTGAGATAAAAAATAATAATAGAACAGTTAAATAAATGTCAGAAAATGTTTCTAACTACAACCATTTTGACTTCCTCTTTTTTTTCTTTTTCTGTTTTTAAACTGACATTTTGTGTTCTGAGCATTTTTACATAAAAACAGTTTATTGTTTGTGCATAATATTCCTGCTATGACTTTGGAGAGCTGAACATTGATCTCTGCAGTGAGATTATATGTCAGCTTTAGCTTTGGACTAAATTGTCCTGATCACAGTTATTAATTAATGCACAAATTCATTTAACTGATGCAAACATGTTTAGAGACTGATTATTATAAAAGCAATATTGATCCTCTGTTTCCTCAAGTGAGTGAAAGATATTTGCTTCTGAGAGTAAAAAAAATCTTGAGATTCAGATGACAAATAACTGAAATGATCCTTTGAGTGACTTTTCATTTGATTTAAGATAACATTACTCTAGCAGACGTTTTTTTTCACATTTGTAATTATTAGTAAAAAAGACAAAAGAGTTTTTTGGTAGAAATCTTAAAATATCACATTTAAAACTGATGTTTAACGACTTAAAGAAAGAAATAAGCCAACAATGCAGTCTCATTTATAGACTTAACACTGTTTTACACTTGACTTTCTCCAGACAAACAAAGATGCTTGGAGCTTTGACTTCTCTTCTCGTCGGCTCTCTGCTGCAGGGTGAG